TTCCGGGCGGAATTCCGGCGTTGACCGGAACGCTGGGAGACGTGTGTGCAGGCGGGCGGCGGCTGGTTTGAGGCATAGGCTGCATTCCGAAATGTCTGATCTATAATCTGTGAAAGTTTGAAAGTGTTAAATAAAGAAATAAAGAAGTTATGACCGATTGTTCGTTTCTTATTGAACGACCTAATATAGAACATCAAACTGTGTCTTCAATGGATGACATTTTATGATCATGATCATCGAAATGCTTTCGATGACATTAGGTATATAGAGTGCCTAGATATCAAATTATGCTAATGACGAGAATATACATGATCATTGTAGTGATAAACAGAGATAAACTACATGATCATTGTAGTTTATCACTTCAAAGATCATGTACAGCCCACCGCTAAAGTAATGTGCGGTTTTACCAATCTCAACAGATGGTTTTGACTGCCGATATTTTAATGCGGAGTGATCGAAAAGAAGACTCCAATAGATAAAGTTGCATCTGCAAGGGTAATGATACAGGTTAGCTACATTCAAAGATGCATTGTGGTCTGGCTAATCCTAAGCTTCAGAAGCAGAACATACCCAGGACTGAAACCTCACAAGTCACATTACTTATGCTGTGGACTGTACCTATATCTTTGTTATTAGCATAATTTGATATCATCTAGGCATTCTAAATATTGTCATCGAAATGTAGGCAACAGAGGTGTAAAATTGCCAATTCACTTTTCTTCAGTAGCATTGGCCAAAGCTTATTTTGAAACCGTTTCGCTTATTAACAGTGGAAGTTGCGCCAAAACACTTTCAACACCGGACCGCTGGTCCTTTTGAATATGCATGATGCTGAAATTAATTTCACGCAACAGTTCCGCAAAACTGTGCATCATAAAGCAGATAAATGAATTGCCTTTGTCCTTGCCTTGGGTAGGTACAACTGCGATTCCAGCCACTATGGCTGCTACTTACTCCGATTTAAACTGGGTCTTCAGCTATTTGAAATTATCGAATGATGGCGATGCATGGTAAGGTAAAAATGGCTTTGGCTAAAGCTGACTATTTGGAGGCGTCCTAAGGCGTCCTATATAGCAATGAAATTTCAGAAAGTGACGCCCGTGAGCACAAATGCTGCATGAAATATGGAGGCCAATATATGTAGCGCGAACTCCACATCATATTTTCAAATACCTGTGAGCAAATCGGTGCCGTCGAACAATGCGTCTGGGTGTGGAGACAACGTTCCCATTCCGTCGTCAGTTGTTCGCCACTGCACCGAGACAGCCAGCGCCGCCTGGTGACGCCCGATCCCGGCCACAGAGGTCGCCACGGCGCCGTAAGCGCAGCTGCTGTCCATGCGGGGTCCACTGCCTGACTTGAAGGAGCAGCCCGTCCGTCGTTTTCATCCTCAGGATGCTCAAATTCTTCTCCTTCACGCCGCAACCCTCTCTCCGGGCTGGACAGGCAACTATATATCATGCGGGCTGCTCCCTTGGAGCGGCACCGTTGCTCCCAAGGGAGCACACCCGTAGCCGGGTGCAGTGAGTAGGGGAGAGTGGGGTAAGATGCCCAGGGTGGGAAAGACGCCCCACCCCCTCTAGCGGCGAAACAAAGAATCGAACCGGGAAATTAATGTTCTTAGCATAAAGCGGAAGCCTGCCTTGTTAACTGCACAAAAATTTGCGAAGCTCAGTCGGGCAACGGCTGGCTGGTGATTGCATGTTTTTTATTTGCCGCTTTCAAAAAATATTTTGGTGTCAAAACATTGTAAATATCAAAGAAAGTAGATAATTTTTGCGTCCTTGCTATAGTCGTCAGGGGCGTAGGCAGGGGGGGGGGGCCACTGGGCCATGGCCCCCCCCCCCCCCCTTGGGCGCCGAAGGCGCCCTTTGCGATTGGAGGGCGCCGAAGGCGCCCTCCAATCGCAAATGCAATTGTGATATAATCGAATCGAAAAACAATCGCGACTGGAGGGCGCCCTCCAATCGCGAATGTGTTTACAGGGAAAATACGGATGGAGGGCGCCCTCGGAGGACGCCCATTCCAAATACGCCCTCCAAATACGGTTGGAGGGCTCCCTCGGGCGCCCTCCAACCACATTTGTAGGCTGTAGCTCTCTAAGCGTAACGGTGGTCGCCTATGTAAGCCGCTGTCCTGTAAATAAGCGCCCTCTCACCCGAAGGCGCCCTCCTGTAGGTCGCCACCCTGCTACACATTGCCGCCCTTCTGCTGATCGGCGTCCTCATAATTATTGGCGCTCTCCTACCTATTGAGCCCTCATGTGAAATTTTGAAGGCCGCCTTTCTCCCTTTTGGCACCCTCTTGTTCAGTGCCGCCCTCCTACCTATTGGTTCCCTAGTCCTTCCTGTTGAATGTTAATCGGGGCCCTTCTCCTATTGGCGCCCTCGTGTAGATCGCCGCCCTCCTAACCACTGGCACCCTCCTGTTGATCACCGCCCTCCTATCCACTGGCACCTTCCTGTTGACAAGCGCCCTCCGCACAGACGCCCTCCTGTTCGTGTCATCCTCTTGAGCAAAGGCGCCCTCCTCACCATTGCCACCCCCATTTTAATCGTCACCCTTCCGCTCATTGGCGACTTCCAGTTGATGACCGCCCTCCCACCTATTGGCGACCTCTTGTTGATCGCCACCCTCCTATTGGTGCTCCCCTGTTCCTCGCCACCCTCTTACCTGGTGGCGCCCTCCTGTTGATTGTTGATCGGCGCCCTCCTACCTATTGGTGCCCTCCTGTTGATCGCTGCCCTTCTATCCATTGGCGCCCTCCTGCTGCTCGCCAACTTCCTACCTATCGGTGCCCTACTGTCGAAACTCGGGATGTTGATCGGGGCTCTTCTACCTATTAGTGCCCTCCTGTGGATCGCAGCCCTTCTACCTATTGGCAACATCCGTTGATCGCTGCCCTCCTATCATTTATTTACTCCTTTGGCATGTTTTTCAACTTAGTCGTTCTATTGCACATAGTTGATGTCTTGCCTGTGAAAACTGCCACAAATGAACGTGCATTCAGCACAATGAATGAAGTATCTATACCTACCAAAACTATCTACGCTCTACGATGCATAAAACACGTCTTTGGTCTTAACGGATTGATCCTACTTTACGTGCATCATGGCATCTATATGGATTACGATTAAGTATTGTCAACAGGTTCGGGCGCAACAGCAGGCATCTGAAGTTTCGGTGATTGAAACTGGTTATGTGGGTACACTGTATGCATCTGTGAGAAGGCTATGAAGGCTGGTCTGAGGTAATTTGGATGATGTTTACGCATCTCGCGCTCCGGTATCAATCCGATACGGTGATCTGGTGCGTAGATATGCCACCGCCAATAAACTTTTATACATCGACACCCATGAGCCAAGCTTTCTGTACAGTTTGTGTGGCAGCGGCCCGACCAAACCTTAGGTATTTTTTACACCTTCAAATTTGGTAAAAGAGCGAGAGGAGCTTTGAACAGTGATCGTATAAAGGCGTGCCTAAAAAGCGGAGGAAAAGGTTGTTTTCAAAAATTTCGCGCGCCTTCCAGCATTTCAATTTTCAAGAACACTTGACCTTTTGTGACCTGGAGTATAAAGAATACACACGATGCAAAATCAATGCAGCACGACCTATACGAGGTTACGCAAAAAAAACTGGTGGCATGGTAAAAAAACGCCTCCCAACCCCCCAACCCCCACTGAGCGATTTTTTATCTCGCGACCGTATGGCGCCCTCCTTGGGTGAGGTGGCGCCCTCCAAACCCTTGCCCCCCCCCCCCCTTCGCGATTTTCTAAATACGCCGCTGATAGTCGTGATACATTAACAATCGTGTACTGTGTCCCAAACAGTTTGTTTCAGGGTGAAGTTTTATGGCTAACAAATTGTACTGATTTAATGCTACTTCGGCATCTTGGGGTAAGATGCCCCCTGTCCTGATGGGGAAAGACGCCCCCCTAAATCCGTAGGCCGTCCTTCAAGCAGCCCGTCAAATCATTTATTACATACTTGTGATGACAGACAAAAGCCGATCTGGGACTATTGAGAGTCCAGTACGGTCGGGTGCTCCCCATGCCGGTCTCTCGGCCCACACAGCGACTTTTTGGGCGGCATCTGACTCTGAGAGCCCTCACGACGGCCTCTGTGGGCCCCATTATTGGCTCCAGGGCCCCTCACGACATCCTTTGAGGGCTCGCACGTTGGCTCCACGGGCCGCGCTGGCATCTGAGGTCCCCACGATGGGCTCGAGGGCCCTCAAGCATCATGAAGACCTATAATAGCCCCACAGCGGTCTCCGAACGCCACCACGGAGACTTGTTTGGACGCGCTGGACTATGATGGCCCTAACGATGACCTCTGAAGCCCCTTACGACTACTTTTGAGGGCCCTTACGATGACGTTTGGTGTCTACTGCAGGCTCGAAGGGACTACTGATTCGTTCAGGCGATTCACGTGCCCATTTATGTCACTTATAGTGCAGGGGGGCATCTTACCCAACGCCAGGGGGCGTCTTTCCCACCCTGTGGGGTAAGATGCCCCCTTTCACTTCTTCAGGAAAATGCTTAATAGCAAAAAGAGTTATCATATTTCAGGCACGAAAATGTGATATTTTTGGAGAAAAATGATGTCGGCTTCCGTTGAAACTCCAAGTTTTTGCTTTCCGATCGTCATTTTCGAATAATATATATGACATAGTAAAACCCTGGGCATCTTTCCCCACTCTCCCCTATACTTAAGGGGCTGGTCGGCCTGTCCTGGGCTGGCGGATTCAAGGTGGGCATTTGGGGTAAATTGTTTTTTTCTGTTTTTTTTTTCTATAATAGGAGGAAAATTGAGCAAATTATATTTGCAAAAGTTTCCCTCAAACTGCAGAGCAGCGCGTAAGGAATAGAAATCCCAAAAAAAAAATAAGGTCTGTGCATCGATTTTCATCAAAACTTTTTCCCAGTTTAGATGCTCCGGCCTCGGTAACACAAAATATGTTGCAGACTAATGAGGTGTCACCCCTGATAAATTATATCGAAAGTGTTGCAATTTGATGTCTTATCAACAGTGGAGCGACACATCTGGTCAGCTGGTGGCGAGCTTGGCACACTTGTGGAGATCCCGTCAGTCCTTCGAATGATGCATGGTGACGGGGCATGCACCATGGGGAGAGGAGCGTGTGGTAAGGCGACGTATCTTCCGTGTCTGCAGAAATTTGTTCTGAATCGCGTGATCGAGACTTCGGGAGCTGTCATCGCGAGATTGCGTAAAGCACGTCAACAGGTGCCACGAGGGGGTACTTATACCCCTGGGCCGGTGGCTCATGCCGACTTCGTCAAACAGCACGTACGTGCAACACCTAAATCCAATCATATTTCAGAAGCTACGTTGATCTATTGATTGATAAGTAATTGATGTATCCAGTGCTGTTTGACTGAGTTGCAAGTTTCAAGGCGAGTGAGGCTGTGAACATGATGTACAATGGATTTCTGGTGAGACAAGTGCTTGTTGTTCGCTATTCATTTTGTATACTAACGAACCATAAGATGGATATCATGTAATGTTGGACAACACTTCGAGTTACGCACTTTTCCGTTTCTACGAGATCTGATATTGTTCGTGTTACATACTTCAGGGTTAATAAGCTACTTGTTAAGTTAATTGCATTTATTTCATAAAATGCAGCCCCGTAGATGTTTTTATTTCATGGATAATAACATCTACCTAAATAACCATAAAATACTCTATAGCGATGAAATACCTTCCTTTGATAATAATCAAAAGGGAATGTTTTTCTCAACATGTATAAAGAAACATCCAAATTTCAAGGACTTTTCATTGAAACGATGTAAAGAAGCTGTCCGTCGTAACCAGCGCACTAATAGGATTTGGCGCACACTTTGTACTCAAACACTTTGTTTCATTTTCAGATCATGTTTTGGATGTCATACTCTGCCCTTCTGTTGTCCTGCCTTCAAATAGCATCAGGAGTGAGGCTGGATGATCATTTACTGGTCGGCCCGCCTGCAAACCGGGCGCGTCGCCTCGACCTAAGGCCCGCTCGCCAGCTGGACGGAACTGACCGAAACCGGATGCCCATATGGGACTGCAGTGACCTACCCTACGGCACCGCAAGCGGCGTCTACTCCATCCTGGAGGGCGCCGGCGGCCCTCCCGTGTGGGCCTACTGCGACTTTAGCGATCCCGCCGGCTGGACGGTGCTTCAGCGGCGACAGGACAACCCCACGCAGCTCAGCTTCGCGCGCCAGTACGACGACTACCGCTACGGCTTCGGCCAGCTGAACTCGGAGTTCTGGTGGGGCCTGGAGTACATGTGGCTCATCACCTCTCGGCACGACCGCGTCTACGAGCTGAAGATCGAGCTCGGCGACTGGGTCGGCGCCACGCGATACGCTCTGTACGGCCAGTTCAGCGTCTCTTCACACGAGGGCCGGTTCCGGCTGTATGCCGCCAACTACTCTGGTGATGCCGGCGATTCGCTCAGCTACCACAGCGGTATGCAGTTCAGCACAGATGACGAGGACAACGACCTTTGGTCTGCAAACTGCGGTGAGGTCTATGCAGCCGGCTGGTGGTTCAACAACTGCCATGAGAGCAACTTGAACGGCATCTACTACGGCAACAATAATCCGACTAGCGGCAAAGATGGGGTCGTCTGGTACGCCTGGCACGGGTTCTACTACTCGCTGAAGGACGCTGTAATGAAGATACGTCCCAGGGTGAAACTGACGTAGGAAATGAGTGGGATTGGTCCGGCAAACATTTACATATTGATGCACATTGCACACCGCACGGGATATATGAGGTTCTATGCATTGGAGGAAGATCAATATGCGGAACTTTCTGGTCCCGTCCACATCCAACGGCCGGAGACCGGCGCATCTATGAATGTTGGGAATATGTAGTTTTGGCTTAGGCAAATGTGCTGTTGTTTCCAATGTCCTACTCTTATTGTCGCTTCGGTCCAATAAATATTTTGTGTGCTTGTATTGTTGTTGTTGCTGTCGTCTAAGAGGGAATAAGCATTGTAGGGTTTAAATGTGCCCTAGCTTATTAATCCGTGCCCCGGGGGGGGGGCGAAAGCGCCTCCCTCACATTTTCTGTCGATATCAGCCCCCCAACTCCCAAGAATGGCAGAACTTTCAGGGCCTTCCTGGGCATCAATTTTACACCTTGCGGCTAAACATGTCTCTAAACTATGTAGACGATGATAGGTTGGCTGCAAATGACGTCAGATTACGTCATCTGCAATTTTCGAGAAAAAAAATATGCGGGAAGAGATGTCATGCCTACAGTTTTGGAGATAGAAAAAAACGCGAAAAAACAATGTCCGAAGGCAAAAAGGGTGTACATAGTACCGCGCACCGACGAGGGTCCGCCCCAACTTAGAACCGACGGGGTATCCGCCTCCCCTGAGATCTCGAGAACGAAGCGAGATAGCGGCAAGCGGTAAACGGCATAGGGTACGCACGGACAAGGTCTACAATTTTTACAATGGTCATTTTCAGGTCAGGCCATAGATGACGTCACAGGGGTTAAGTAAAAGATGACGTCCCAGGGGTCAAAGTCAAAATTGTGGGGCTAGAAATGAAGCAAGTTTTTTTTCTCGAATCACTTTCGAAGTAGCTAAGTTAGAAACAAACTAATGGCACCATCGTGATCCTCTCGTCAATCTGCATCGAACCATATATGTGCTGACCTCGAAAAGTCAAGGTCAAAGGTTGACCTCAGGTCACGTGACCTCAAGGTCATCATACAATATCATTCGATGCGCCTTGACGAGTTGAGCACAATGAGACCATCCGCGTGGCTGTATCTTGTTCTGTAAGAAGTTATTAGCAAAAGAAAATGGTGGCCCTTGATGACGTCACATGACCTAAGAGTTGCCCAAGAGCAAAAAAAAACCTCAAGGTAGTCAAGTTTGATTGTATATGAAGTCATCCATGGTATATTGGGCCATTCTGACGCGTTTTAGTGGAAAAACAGGGGGTCGATTTTCTCCCCATTGACCATATAGGGGAGGTCAAGAAATTGCCTTAACCTTAGGTCATCGATATCAAAATTCCGAGAGATCAAAATTGTAGCTACCAACGGCCTTATTAGGTACATCCTGCGACTTTCAAAGACCTCCGTCATCTACTGTAGCTCTGACACGGTGACAAAGTGCAAAAAGTAAAGAGGGGCTGGGTCATTCGAAGTGACCTGGTGACCTGACCTTCAAAGGTAGGAGATTCAAACTTGCACATCACGTATACAATTGATGAGGAAAAAGTCATGCTAAATTTCGTGTACGCGCCTTGGTTTTCCCGCTATTTACGAAAAACCTCAGGAGGCGGTTAACCGCACCCCCCCCCCCCCCCGTCGGTGTGCGGTTTAACGATGCTACAGAACTGCTGTCTGGGATTTTTAACATTTTGCATTTGGTCCACAAAAATAAGAATGTTTTGTAGTTCCCTATAAAGACAAAAATGAAGACAAAAGTGCAGAATAAATCTTATACAACATTAGGTAATCCATCAAAATACCTATTTTCAGATCGATAGCTCCAGTTTTGGCAAACTTATATCGAAATGATATTCAAAATTGGTGACATCAACTTGACTCAATTTTCAGCTATTCTAGACCACGTAGCGTAAAACTAACACCACCATTGGATTCCCCGTGGCGAGCTGCATCCAGCATCGAATAAATACATTTTTATACAAAAATACTAATTTTGAAATTTGACCTTCTTTACCTGATCTTGACCTGACCTTGACCAGAGTGTATCCTAAACCGGTCCCAATGGTCGCTTAACCCACATAATTCAATTTGAAACATAAAATTGACCTAAAACGTGTATCACACTACCCTAGTATAGTTGGGTTCATAACGTAACCCCTAGTGACCTGACCTGTGACTTAGCCTAGTATCATTGACCACTTTTAGCAACACATGTACTCGTATTAAAGGGACCCTCCCACCTTAACATTAGATTTGAGTTGAGATAGCCAAAATGGGGTCCCTGGCTCACAATTACCGGTTTCGGCACTCACAACATCGAGAAATGCCTTAAATCGGAAATATTGAATTTCAAAATTGCAGCATTTTGATTCAGAGGGGCTAATGCATAGGAATACCCCTCTGAATGTGTGACGTCAGCGCAGATATCTAACGATTTTTAAATGTTTGACTAAAACGTTTTGTAGCACGCGGTGGTATACGCTGCTTTGCGCGCAACAAATGCCGCACTTTCAAATAAAGTCGCTAGGAACAGCGGAGATCCCAAAAAGTAAACAAAAGTAAAAGTCAAATATCTTGAAAACTGGTGAATATTTTTCGATGAAATTTGGTAGATATTCGTTTTTGCTCTTTCTGAACCGAGCGACATCACTTTCATGCCAATTCATTAACTTTTTTGAAGGTGGGAGCCGGGAGGGTCCCTTTAAAGCAGGGGCGGGTAAACTTTTGGGAGCGCGGGCCGGGTGTTGCATTTGTGAGCAACTGGGGGGCCGGAGTGCTAAGCTCGCCAGAGTTTCGTTTGTCAATGACTTAAATGGTCAATGGATGCTATGTTGCTATGACGCGACTGACCAACGACGGGCAATGACTGGCTCAGACAGAGACAAATACTTATAGTAACACTTACAAACGAATGACTTTTGACCCATGACAACCATACTAAAAATCAAGTCTGCTTATGTAAAATGCACAGTGCACACACACACACAGTACACACACACACTAGGAATCATAGGTCTCGCGGGCCGGATTGCAATGCTGGCTGCCTATCCAGGCCACGGGCCGGACGCCGGAGCTTGGCGGGCCGCATCCGGCCCGCGGGCCGGACTTTGCCCGCCCCTGCTTTAAAGGGACCCTTCCACCTTCAAAAAAGTTAATGAATTGGCATGAAAGTGATGTCGCTCGGTTCAGAAAGAACGAAAACAACTTTCTACCAGATTCCACCGAAATATATTCACCGGTTTTCAACATTTTAGCCTTTTACTTTTGTTTACTTTTTGGGATCTCGCTGTTCCTAGTGATTTTTTTTTCTGGAAGCAATAGTTTGGCAACTGATAGTGCGGCACTCGTTGCGCGCAAAGCAGCATATACCACAGCGTGCTACCAAACGTTTTAGTAAAATATTCAAAATCGTTAGATCTGCGTTTACGTAACAAATTCAGAGAGGGCATTCAAATGCTTTAGCCCCTCTGAATCTAGAGTGTTGTAGCTTTGAAATTAGATATATTCAAATTGAGGCATTTCTGGATTTTTTGAGTGCTTAAACCGGTAAGTGTAAGTCAGGGACCCCATTTTGGCTATCTCAACTCAAAACTAATGTTAACCTTCGCCCCGCTGAGGGGGGCCAATTTGCCCCCCCCCCCCCCCCTGTGGTTTTTCCTAAATAGCAAGAAAAAGGCGGCGCGCAGCGCCGCCAAATTTTCAGTACCTTTTTGGGCATCAATTTGACACCTACACATCAAATTTCAAGTCTTGGGTCACCTTAGGTCAGGAGTTATTGAGGTCACACTGAGGTCATGTTCGAGCAAAAATGAGGAAAAATCATGAAATCTTTAAACGCTCACAAAAGCTATAGTTACCAAGCAATTCCAAAGTTCTTTATATGGTCATGTAGACAAAGCACAGCGCTACAAAACTGCAATCTCGGATTTTCAGTTCTTTTTATTTTGACCCCTAAAAATTCAAAAAATTGATTTTTTTAGAAAAACTCAAAAAAAATCCCAAAACTTTCCGAATTTCGAAAAATCCGGAATAAATGTGATATTACCTGCGCTCTTCTATATACATACCAAATTTTAGATCGATACCTCCTTTTTTGGCCAAGTTATAGCGAAAAAACTTCAAAATTGATGACGTCATATTTTTAACTCAATTTTTAGCAATTCTAGACCACGTAGCGCAAAACAAAAACCACCATTGAACTCTTCGTGACGAGATGCATCGAATCGATACCCATTTTATGCAAAATATCAACTTTGAAATTTGACCTAATTTGACCTGACCTTGACCTGACCTTGACCTGACCTTGTCCTGACCTTCACCGGAACATAATCTAAACTGACCCCAAAGGCTGCCTGACCCACATAATCGTATTTGGCATATAAACTGGACCATAAAACATGCATCACATGATGTTTTCATACTGTGACCCTCAGTGACCTGACCTCAGCTCTGTGACCTGACCTGGTATCAGTGACCTCAAATAGCAAAATATGTGTTTGACGAACATTTCCCCATCGATGATTTTCAATGAAATGCATTTTACTCGATTTTACAACGCATTTCTTGAAATGCCTGTAAACGGTGAAAATTCGACATTTTACCTGACCTGTGACGTCATCAGTTTGACCTAGGTCAACGAAATTGGGTCACCTGGTAGTTCCCTGATAGGGCTATACAACACCGTTTGCCGCTTGTCGCTATGTTGCGTGGTTCTCGATATCTTAGGGGGGTCCAAATTGCCCCCCCCCCGCAGGGCGCGTTGGTCGGCAGACCCCAGCGGGGCGCGGGTTAACCCGGCCGGGCCCGGGGGGTAATCCCAACCACCGCAGCCCGGGGGGACGTTTTCGCCCCCCCCCCCCCTGTCTAACTCCGTAAATAAGGGAGCTACGGGAACAAAAGCGATACCAAACGAAAGGTCCTTACAAGACGTTTCTAAAGCACCTAAAATTTTTGACCTCAGGTCATTTTTTAAGGTCAGAGGTCAAGGTCAAAGGCAAAAACCGGCACATGTGTAGTGATCTCAAAGTAAGCGTTCTAGACGACGGCAAGATGCATGAAACCGGCAAAATTGGGTGTCAAACGAAAGAAGAGAATCTGAGGATTCCGAAAATGTGCTCAAAATTAAAGGTCAAGGTCAAGATCATGCTTAAAATTGACCTCAAACTTTGCACTTTTTCGTACATCTTGCGTTTTAACTTCCAAGATGTTTTGAAATGTTTTGAGGCTTATCAGGTCCCTATTTGTGGTTCATCTTACGATACAAGGCTGCTCAAAGGTCAAGGTCACAGAAGAGTATCCTTGCTAGCAGGGGCGGATCCAGGAAAACTCCAAGGGGAGGGTCATGAATCGAAGTGGTGCCCCTACCTATACCCAAAATTAAAAACTCAACGGATTTCGTCCACTTCATTTTGGTGGTGCCCCCATTTTCAGTTTTTTTTCTTTTTATTTTTTATTTTTAGTCAGTATCTTAACTCTTAGCCACAACCACATTTACCAATTGTAAGCAAGTATGTGCGAGTATGTGTGAATGTGCTATGTGCATAGATGCTATGTGTATATATGTTGTGGACGCTGAGTAGTGAGTACTTACCAGGAACGTTATCAGGTAAGCAAATCGTTGTCAGTCCGACGAACTTGACCCTGGCGTCTAAAGGGTCTGTCCTTGACACTTCAGGCTTGTCAGGGGCACCAAAGTTCTTCCAGGGACACCACAAACCTTTCAGGGGCACCTACGGCCTTGTAGGGGCGCCACAGGCCCGCCAGGGGCACCACAGGCCTGCCAGGAAGTAGGGGCACCACAGGTCTAGCAAGTATACACGACAGGCCTGTCAGGGGCACAACGGACCTGTTGGGCCCATGAGCACCCCTAGGGGCAGGGGCACCACAGTCCTTCCAGGGGCACCGCAGGCCTGTGAGGGGCACCAGCGGCCTAGCAGGGGCACCAGTCAACACAGGCCTGCCAGGGGCACCACAGACCTGCAAGGGGCACCAGAGGTCTGCCAGGAGCACCACCGACCCCGCAGGGGTAACTTGGGCCTGTCAGGGGCCAGGGGCACCACGGGCCTGTCGAGAGGCACTTCAGGCTTTTCAGGGGCACCATAGTCATCTCCGGGCGCAGGGGTAGCAGGGGCACCAGAGGCCTGCCAGGGGCACAACAGGCCTAGCAAGGGCACCACTGGTCTATCAGGGGCACCACGAGCCTGTCATAGCCAGGCATCTCAGGCTTGTCAAGGCCCAGGGGCACCACAGGTCTGTGAGGGGCACCAGCGACCTAGCAGGGGCACCAGTCAACACAGGTCTGCCAGGGGCGCCACAGACCTGCCAGGGGCACCACAGACCTGCCAGGGGCACCAGAGGTCTGCCAGGGGCACCACCGGCCTCGCAGGGGCACCTTGGCCTGTCAGGGGCACCACGGGCCTGCCGAGGGGCACTTCAGACTTTTCAGGGGCACCAGTCCTCTCCGGGCGCAGGGGTACCAGCGGCCTAGCAAGGGCACCAGAGGCCTGCCAGGGGCACCAGCGGCCTAGCAAGGGCACCAGAGGCCTGCCAGGGGCACCACAGGCCTAACAAGGGCACCACGGGCCTGTCGGGGGCACCTCAGGCTTGTCAGGGCCCAGGGACACCACAGTCCTTCCAAGGGCACCGCAAGCCTGTCAGGGGCACCCGAGGCCTGCCAGGGGCACCACAGGCCTAGCAAGGGCACCACTGGCCTGTCAGGGGCACCTCAGGCTTGTCAGGGCCCAGGGGCACCACAGTCCTTCCAGGGGCATTACAAGCCTGTCAGGGGCACCAGAGGCCTAGCAAGGGCACCACAGGCCTGCCATGGACACCACAGGCCTGCCAGGGGCACCACCGCCCTTGCAGGGGCGCCTCAGGCCTGTCAGGGGCACCACGTGCCTACCGGGGACACTTCAGGCTTGTCAGGGGCGTTACAGTCCTGTCAGGGCCCAGGGGCACCAGGCCCGTGGTGTCCCTGCTAGGCCTGTGGTGCCCCTGGCGGTCCTGGGTGCCCCTGTCAGGACTGTGATACCCCTGATAGGCCGGTGGTGCCCCTGGCAGGTCTTTAGGCCCCCGGGCCTCAAGGGGGGGCCATGACCCATGTGACCCCCCCCCTTGGATCCGCCCCTGCTTGCTAGAGGCTATTTCGCTGATTCATGTTAGTAATAATAAATAAGACAACTTTGCCATCCAGAGGCTCTAAATGAAGGCTTAGAGGAAAATAGATGCCAGATTCGTGATCAGCGGGTACGAATCCATCATAAATGACCTTTCATGTGTCAAGGTCAACCAAAGGTCATTCGAGGTCACATGAGGTCAACATAAAACTTGACCCTTTCCAAATAAAATATATATCATTCGACGCGGATTGACAAGGCGAATGCGATGGTACCACTGCCGTAGCTCTAGGACCATTTTTGTCGAAGTTATTTGCGAAAAACTAAAACCACAGCTCGGGGTCGTTGACCTGACCTGTGACCTCAGGTCACCAAAACTATTTTTCTATTTTTCTCTAGGTCAAACGCTACACAACCGTGCTCGTAATTTGTCTTTATCTCTAAAACTCTGTTTTTGGCAGCTATTTAAAGTTCGCGTCTGTGACGCCGAAGTTTGCCGTGCAGGGGTCTAGAAAAATCGACCCTGTGACGTCATCAATGGGGCTAGGTCCAAATTTTTTACTTCAGAAGATGTCAAATTGATGGGAGAAAAGGTACTGAAAGTTTCGCTTTCCTATCCTTAAGCGTTCGGGAGCTATCGCAAATATTCGCCAGGGGGGGGGCGAAAAACGCCCCCCGGGCCCGCGAGGGTTAAGGTGGGATGGTCATTTTAAATAAACAACACTCTATCGATGATTTTCGATGCCATGTCTTTTTCTCGATGTTGTAACAGTATGTCTTCGGTGTGGTCTATTGAACACCGTTTGAATTTTTAAGTGTCTCCGAAATTTTAAGGGGGCGGAAACGCACCTCCCCTCCCCCCCTATGGGCGGCAGGGTTCGGGAACAGCCCAACTGGGTGCGGGTTAAAATTCGGTGGCTTAGCCTGACCTGAAAATAGAGTTGGTGTCAAAAGATCCGGCCTGAACGGTCTGAGCTTACGAGTATGATCAGGAACTATGAATGGATGAAGGCTGGGTACCTACTGCATTTTGGTAAATGACATCGCTCATCGGACACCGAACGTGCATGAAGGTTCGGTGGATTGCAGTTAAATTTGTGCACCGTCAGGAACTGCGATCACTAGGATGGCCCGTACCAATTATGTAGTCGGGGTTTTTGAGTGCCTGCCTTGTGACAACCTTGCACCGCGCCGCTTGATACAACTCACGACCGGTTAGACTACTCGACTTCAAACACCATTAGTGCGCTGATAGAGGTATAATCTTATGAACGAAATACAAATGCAAACTTTGAACAAAAATACATCAATTTTGGATAGATAGAAGGCATGTATTCCATCAAAAATATATTGCAATACAGCAAGACAACATTTAGAGGACAATCAAAGCAAAAGCCGACATTTCCGCAAATATCCACCTAACTTCAGGCGTAAGCGAGTCATGAGGCATAGCATGTGAAAGAACCCGATAAGCTGGGGAATCGTTCGCTCAAAACTTTTAACCTTATGTATCCCGTGCAGCATGCATCAGCACTCTTTTTTATGCATCAGCACTCGCTGTCTGAACATCTGCCGTGCATTTCCTACGTCAGTTTCACCCTGGGACGTATCTTCATCACAACATCCTTCAGCGAGTAGTAGAACCCGTGCCAGGCCGACCAGACGACCCCTTTCTGGTCGGCTGTCGGGTTGTTATTGCCGTAGTAGATGCCGTTCAAGTTGCTCTCATGGCAGCTACGGTACCACCAACCGGACGTGTAGATTCCGCCACAGTTGTTGGCACTATTCTGGTCGTTGTCCTCATCTTCTGTGCTGAACTGCATGCCGTTGTGATAAGTGAGCGAATCGCCGGCATCACCAGAGTAGTTGGCGGCATACAGCCGGAACCGGCCCTCGTGTGAAGAGACGCTGAACTGGCCGTACAGAGCGTATCGCGTGGCGCCGACCCAGTCGCCGAGCTCGATCTTCAGCTCGTAGACGCGGTCGTGCCGAGAGGTGATGAGCCACATGTACTCCAGGCCCCACCAGAACTCCGAGTTCAGCTGGCCGAAGCCGTAGCGGTAGTCGTCGTACTGGCGCGCGAAGCTGAGCTGCGTGGGGTTGTCCTGTCGCCGCTGAAGGACCGTCCAGCCGGCGGGATCGCTGAAGTCGCAGTAGGCCCACACGGGAGGGCCGCCGGCGCCCTCCAGGATGGAGTAGACGCCGCTCGGAGTGCCGAAGGGTAGGTCACTGCAGTCCCACACAGGTAAGCGGCTCGTATCGCCATTCTCGGACCTACGAGCGGTGCTGGGCTCGAGGCGGAACGACCGGCTGTGAGGAGCGTCGCCCGATTGAGAAGCATGCAGCCTCATAGCTGATGCCATTTGAAGGCTCAGCAACAGCAGTGCAGAGTATGAAGACATCGTCTGAAATGGCAAAGCAAGCGAATGCATTGGTAAGTTAGAGCGATATAAAAAAGGGAATGAAATGGCTACGCGATTCCCTGCTGACCGCTTAAAGAAGCATTCCCACATTTTGCGGAGCTTTTCTTAAGCATGTAAATTGAAACATGTGTTGATATGTCATGTCCTAGGTAAGGAGTTACGGACATTTTACGCTTAAAAGTTGTGCTTACCTCTAAAAACAAAGTCTAAAAACAAAGTATTTACACTAATTTGCATAGTTCGCTCTAATCAAGCAAGCGAGAAAGCTGTTTACCTTCAAGTTCCTTGCTCAGAATGCTCTTGACGCCAGGCGAATGACGCTGAAAAGGACTGCTTACGACGCCTGCTTTGGCGACAGCTCAATCCCTGAACTTCTTAGACTTACAGAGCACTTATTAAGGCACCCTCGGTGTTTGACAGAGTCGGCATGAGCATCGGCCCAGGGGTATAAGTACCTCCTCGTGGCACCTGTTGACGCAATCTCGCGATGACAGCCCCCGAAGTCTCCATCACGCGATTCAGAACAAATTTCTGCAGACACGGAAGATGCATGCTCCCCATCTGATAGCGCATGTCCTAGCACCATGCATCATTTGGAGGACTGACGGGATCTCAACAAGTGTGCCAAGATCGCCACCAGCTGACCAGATTTGTCTTCTTTGTTACTGAGACAGATAGTTATCGCACTTCGAAGTGATCAGTCAGAAATGAGAAATGACGTATTTCGGCCAAAATTAGAAGGAGGGAGGGACTGTTTTAACTTTTCAAAAACTAATCCCATGGTGACAATACAAGAATAACAGTTGCGTTTGAGAAATCCAAGTGTTCAGTTAAATGCGCTATATGTATAGGCAAAACAGGAATAGTCAGAGATGTTGAGTTTGAAATTCAAATGTTATCATAACAGCTCAACTCAACTGCATACCATGCACATATCACGCGGAATCGTGCAAGATAGCCCTAAAATTAAACATTTTGCGTCTTATAGGAAGCTGAATGCCCTTCAGTACGTAAAGGGATAGGATAGCACCCTTCTGTGGGATGACTTCTTATTGCCGAGTATATCCGTGCTTTGGCGTGAGAATATAACAACTTTCTAGCATTATAATGTTAAGTTATGTAGTCAAAATTTAAATTAATTTTGTGATTTAGTTGTGTAGCGTACTTTGAGTAATGATAGTGATGTTCTTTACACATATTCCCCTTCCCACTATTGTGAATAAAACTTGGGTCCATCGTTTTGTGAACCTCGCCAAGACAAGAACATTATTCCGGAGCACTCATTATACTTCCAATACGACGCCAAAAGAAAATCACGAAAGCCCTGACAGTTCCATTTGACATTTCAGATGGGCAGGTGTCAAATGCACGGAATTTCCGCCCGGTGTCACCCCTTTCTTTCTCTCCAAGCGCAACTGTCGACCGCGCCTGGGGCAGGTCGCCCCGAACACAGCAAGAACATGCAGTCGATATCTGTTAGACACGTCCCGCGAATCACTTCAGGAATCAGTTTAGCACTCAAACAATGGACCTGGAGCTGCCGTTCGCAGTTTTTCGGGACGATCAGCACCCCGCACTACGTGTAAGGCCCGCACGCGCACACCTGTGCTATTGTCTGAGCCGTGTCAGCGGATTGCGCATCCACCTGAGTCTCTGCGTCACCCGACTGCTGCACCACTTCTGCTGACTTTAGGCGTTCGATACGGCCGCGACGTCCCGGTATAAAAGTGCTCTGGTCGGTAGGAGCGGTGTCTTGTCTTCGTTCGAGAGCAGCCATCCACTATCCGTACAGCCATGAAGGTGTTGTCTGTGCTGCTGCTCTTGGCGCTGGTGGCGGCTGTCGCCGTTGGAAGACCAAACGACGTTCTGGACAGCCCGGCAGTACGTCAGTCCAGCTCGGACTCGTCTGGTGACTCGGGCAGCTCGGACAGCTCCGAGACTGAGGTCTCCGATAACTCCAGCTCCAGCGGAGGGTACGGATCGAGCAGCTCTGAATCGGAAGGCTCCGGCAATCCGTGGACGTCCGGCTCGTACGGACCCGGCTATCCAGGGGTAGGCCCCAACAACCCTGGCCTCGGCCTCGGCAACCGTGACGGCTCCGGAGATTCCGGCAGCGACTCCAGCGAGTCCAGCGAGTCCGGCAGCGACTCCGGTGAATCCGACAGCGATTCTGGTGAATCCGACAGCGATTCTGACAGCGATTGACAAGGATTCTGACAGGAATCCTTCTGGTAAAGCGACTGTTGGTCTGATGCAAATCAGCACAAGCCGCAAATGAGCGGTGACGCAGGGGAAATCATGAACCGGGGTAGGAAACCATCGACACGCCTTGTCCCAGTGACGCATTTCGTGGGAGTCGCATAAATGCCTGAATGTTACATTCTAATACTGTCATGTTAATCAACGAACTCCTGCTAGTAGTGCTTCTTCAATCATTTACCATATAAGGTTGAGGTCTTTTCATGTTCAACCGGCTATCGAACGGTTCAGGGTGTTTCACTGTTACATGTGTTTCGATTTGTGTGAGGGATAATAAATGGTTAGCTTACGCATAACACTTACGGTAAACGAACAAGCCCTATCGATTCTTTTTAGCTGCTATGACCATAATTTTTTTTTAATCAGTGGATTTCTCTTAATTAAAGCTTAGTGACACAGTTCGACTCGAAAACCAGTAAAAACGCTCTTTTTGCGCCTTTTCGGGGTTCAGTGTTAGCTTTGACTCCTGAGCATTGGATTGGAAGGCGGTCGAATTTGGCGGTATATAACATGTTTTGAATTGGTATGCGACCTTACCCGAGTAAAAACCAATTATTTTACACTAACAACCCAAGCAGCACGGCAGTCGGCACATCACGATACCACATTCTACGAGAACCAGCTGAAGTAATGGATATACTTCCCACACACCACATAGATGCGGGCAAGCACGGAGTGAGATGCTGCTACTTCGGTACCGAACCATCGTTTTAAATGATAAACCAAGCTCTTGAAAGGCAGAGCTGTGAGGCACCAGATTCCGCTGAGATGGGACTAAAGGCTCTGTAAGCCCCCGCCTCAACGGAGACACGCAATGCTTCTCGATGTGCTAGACGTAAGGCGACGTTTTCATGGACATTGGACAGTCTGGGGCAAAAGCAGGCAAGGTCCAGCTCCAGACGGACATGATTTGGAAATGCAAAAAGCTTGTGCTTATGGAAAAGCCTATGCCTATTTATTCGTAATTCGAACTTTGTTTTTTTTTTTTTTTAAATGGCACAGTTTCTATTGTCTGCGCGGCAGGGCTTCTGCACAACGCATCCTCAATTAGGCGTGACGTTATTAGTGATGTCAATTACGGAAAATCGGAATACCGATACCAAACCAAATACCAACCAAAACCGTGGATAAATACCGAAACCAAACAAACTTGGGAACATGAGGAAAATACCAACTTTTTACCTATTTCTTAGCACCTTAAACATTAGCGAGGGTTCATGATACCAACAAAATACCAAACACATTAGGATTGAAATACCAAATACCAAGTTGGTATCGGTTTGGTATCGGCATGGATGATATAATACTTATGGATGATATAATACTTATATCTCATCCTCCTTACATCCATCCTTACTTATCATCTCATCCATGGTATCGGTATATACCAAAAAGTTGGTATCCGATTGACATCTCTAGACGTAATCGATGAGGGCTGGCAAAATGGAGCACTGGCAATATTTTGCCCTGGAGTCTGGAGCCATCCTGATTATTTACCAAATCCGACCAATCCTGGCGAGTGCAGGTGCCGATTTTTATCACTGATAAGTCGAGGATAAATGTTTTATTTTACAATCATTGTTACCAAATAGTTCCAATTAAAAGGCCAGAGGTTATACCTCCAAGAGACCAGGGCATCACTGGCGAAGTTCAAGTTCACCAATCAGAACCCGTCTGTTTTAGGTGCCAGTGAAGGTCACCTTGAGGACACCAAACTCAGAACATGTCTGACTCGGCTATCGTGACTACTAACGACCGCAGTCAGTTTGTCATCAGCCCGACAGACTGAGGCCTGTGTGTCCTGCACCTGTTTCGATCTAACATTCATTATCACAGCGCTGACGACGAATTACTTATTCAATCGGTATCTAAATATCAACATTCTCATGAAACCGTGGGGCAAAGTTGGTGGTCTGTGTACAGTGCCTTAATTAGTGAGGGTGACATTAGTTGTTTTGTTGAAACTAAGGCTTTGCCGTTGCATTGGAAAGACCTGTTGCGGGTGGCATTTTGCGAAGACGATTTCTTGACAGACTCAAACTGCAAACATGCCCAAAACTACTTGTGAAGTTGATAGCTATACACTTAAGCTGGTTTAACACTAGTAGCATGAACAGGTGCGAAGAAAATAATTTAACACGCTATATCAAACGCAAAAACAGCCATTAATTTGCATCTAAAGAAGTAAGAACACATAGGTACGGCCCACAACCCTCCACTGTCGCCGTGGACTTGCTTTAGCTTATCAATGTCACTACCCTTTTGGTCATCTGTGTGCAAAGAACGACCGCAGAGGTAGCGCAACGGTTGAACGCACCCTGCGGCCAGTCAACGGCCTGGCCTCCCCGTGGGCGGATATACGCGGAGGTCACAGGTCACTTATCGGCCGACCATCGCAGGAGGACAGCGGCACCATGCGCTGGTGACTGTTCAACAACTTCAAGGTGCTGGAGCGTGCCGTTCGAATAGCACTTCTCTGCTGCTGGATCGGATTTGTAGCGTAGAAGGTAGGTACGTCGCTCATCAGTCATCGGCGTAATGTGAGGTGAGATTGCGTGCATGTTGTTTTGCTAGAAGATGTGGATTTTCGGCAAAAATGATTTTAAAGCTAACAAAATAATGCAAGCTCAACATACCAAGAAGCCATCAAGGATCAGACAGATATGTCACTCCTCCTCGGCGACTCCATCTTCTCCTTCTCCATCAATCACAACTCCGGTAGGGACCTCGCTGCATCTGTGCGGGGTCGTAAGTCCAACATGGATAAAAGATGTTTAGAGCCATGGGCGCCGCCACCGGGGGGGACGGGGGGACGCGTCCCCCCCACTCTCAGAATGGAAGGGGGACGTCCCCCCAAACTCATTACGGAGCGAGCGAAGCGAGCGTAGTCTTTCGTAGGTTAACAGAAATTTCTGAGTATGCCGTGGTCACGCTTTTGCTAGGCTTATATCTCAGCAACCACTTGACCGATTTACATGCGGTAATTTTTGTAGGGTAGCACTAGATTCATTCCTTCTAACGAGCATCGGACTATTCCCGATGCATGTGAGTGACCCCATATGCACGTGCCACGTGAAAAACGAAGAGGTGTCAATTTTGTAACAATTTCAATATCTCGGCAACTACTGGGCCGATTGCGCTGAAAGTTGGCATGTAGGTAGGTAT